ATGCTTGTTTTCAAAGAAAACAAAAGAGCAAGTGATTTTAGTAAATATATCAAAATCTAGAAATTTTATAGTCATCAGCAAAGATTTGATTACCTAGAAAACACAGTATCCTTTTTTTTTTTTTTTTAAGTTGAGATGGTGTCTTTCTCCATTGCCTAGGCTGGAGTGCAGTGGCACAAGCATAGCTCACTGCAACTTTGAACTCCTGGACTTAAATGATCCTCCTGCATCAGATTCCCAAGTATCCAGACTACAGGTGTGCGCCATCATTCCTGACTAATTTTTAAATTTTTGTGGAGACAAGAGTCTTGCTCTGTTGACCAGAGTAGCCTTGAACTCCTGGCTTCAAGTGATCCTTCCGCCTTTACCCAGTATCCCTTCTTGTATGTTAAAATGTCATTACACTTTTTCTAATATACTTATTTATCTATACAGCAAAGCATAAATGAATAAATCAAAATTGAAACTAGCTCAGTAAAGGAACTAAGTAACTAAGTCTTGAAATCCTGGCTTCAAATAATCCTTCCACTTTCACCCAGTATCCCTTCTTGTATGTTAAAATATCATTACTTTTTTTCCAATATGTTGTTTCTCTATACTGCAAAGCATAAATGAATAAATCAAAATTGAAAGTAGCTTAATAAAGGAACTAAGTATACTGTTCATTAATTTATATGCCTGGTGTTTGCTACTTTGCAAAATTTAGTTATTCTACCACTTACTAGAATATTAGACATTATCTGTTTATGAGAGCCATATACCTTATTTATTAGTACTTTTTTTTAATATTAGGGAAATATTTGAGTTATAACCATCTTTGCTTTGTGTAAGATTTAGGCCAGTAGGCTTATTTGTATTCATTCAGTAGGATTCATTTAATATGTTTTTACTGGGCGTATAGACTGTCCCTTACTGAATTAACTGGTTCAGAAAAGAGAGAGAGAGAAATGTAGTGTTACAGTGTTTAGGGATTAAAAATTGGCATTTGTTTTAATGATTCTTTATTGCAAGGGACATTAGTTATTTAGACCCTCAGGGACCTTGAATAAACAATTGCCTGCTCCCTAGATAGATGCTAGACAGATGATATATTTGCATTTTCCTTTTTGTTCTTTTGAATGTCTGGAAGACTGTCAGTTTGAAGGAGCCAGTTTATCAGTGCTAGGATAAGGAAAAGATAAGTGAGTATCATTCCACATGTTGGAGGTAGCTTCTGCATTTATGTATTTGTGAACATTTGCTAGAAATATTTAATGATAATTTAAAACAAATTTTTTGAAAGTTTATATTTTTATCTGAGTTGAAAAAATGCAATATGTTTGGAAATTACATTTTTTCACTAGCAGGAACGGAGGACAACCTAGTGTGAAATTACTGATGTATTTAATTTATTCTTTCATGTGATTTTTTTCTTATAACTATAGCTGGTTAGTTTATTATCCTTGTTGGTAAAGTGTCTTCTTACGACTTAAGACACTGTGTAAAAAATCTGTTTCTGCTATATTCTCTTTTAGAATTGAAAATTGGCATTACTTCTATGGTAGTGTGAGGAAATAATTTTTGTTACTGCTTTATTTAGAAGCAACAATGTTGCTGTTCTTTTTCACATTTCTAATAATGCATTTCTCATTAAAATTAGTATCATTTAGCACAGTGGGCAGTGTGTGGTGATTTACACCTGTATTCCCAGCACTTTGAGAGGCTGGGGTGGAAGGATCACCTGAAGCCAGCAGTTCAAGACCAGCCTAGTCAACAAAATGAGATCTTATCTCTACAAGAAATTAAAAAGTTATCTGAACATGGTGTTACATGCCTATAGTCTCATCTACTCAGAAGGCTGAGGCAGGAGGATCACGAATCCAGGAATTCAAGGCTGCAGTGAGCTATGATCACACCAGTACACTCTAGCCTGGGCAATAGAGCAAGACCTCCTCTCTTAAAACAACAAAACCCAATAAACCAATTAGTGCAGTAAAGGCTAATTTTGCCTTACAACTTTTACCTAAAGCCTCATACATACATTTTTTGGGGAGGGATTTATTTTTTCCGTCTCTACTTTTGAGTGAATAGGACCTTGTGAGTTCCTTTGTATTAGCTTCAGGAAAGCTCAAGAAAAACCATCAGTAATCCTAATAAAGAAAATGTCAGATACATTCCAATAAAAATGGTCTTCAAAAATTATCACCAATTAAAAAAATGAAAATATTAATTGATCACTGGTAATAGAAGTCAATGACCCACTGTGATTCAGTGATCATATTGTTGTCAAGAACTTAGAAAACTGCAGGTGTTGTTTACTGAGTGTAATAAAGCCACTGGGTCAGTGAAGTACTTTACTGAATGTAGTATATGATTTTAGGATTGGACGTGACTCTTTTAATTGCCAGATACTAAAGGGTGAAAAAAACTTTTTTCAGCTTCCCTGGTCTTGCCCTCTAATTTGAAATTTTATTGTGGAAAATACAAAAATAGTAATATTTTTATGATGAAGTTTGGGTTGATATATATGCTTTTAAAAATTGTCGCAGTGGTCTGGGCATGGTGGCTTACGCCTATAATCCCAGCAATTTGGGAGGCCAAGGCCAAAGTATTGTTTGAGACCAAGAGTTTGAGATCATCCTGGGCAACATAATGAGACCCTGTCTCTAAAAAAAAAAATTAAAAAATAAAAAAAATTGAAAGTAACTGGATGTGGTGGCATGCTGCATCTGTATTCCCAACTACTTGGGAGTCTGAGGCAAGAAGACAGGTTAAACCCAGGAGTTCAAGGCTGCAATGTGCTCTGATCCCTCCACTGCAGCCTGGGTGACGAGCTAGACCCTGTCTCAAGAAAAGCGAAAAAAATTGTCAACATGATGGAGTGTGTGCTTTAGCTTCATTTTTTAGCGAATCCTATGCATCCTAACCACCAGTCACTTGGTTAGAATTTTTAGGTACAGTTAGATCTCAGTTGAGCAGGATGGAGAGGAGGGCAGTACTGTAGCCATACGAAACTTACAGTATAAAGGAAAGTGAACTTTGATTATCAAGGGAATGGGAAAGGAAGTATGTTGTGGAAAAGAAAGATTAACTTCTTTAAAAGTTAAGTTCATCTTGTACTGGGAATTTGCTCACTCTAAGACTTGGGCTCAGTAATTATCCAGAGGTTAATTGTGAAAGATTGCTACATTTCCCGCTTTCCAAAAGGAACCAAGATTGTTGGGGGATCTAATTGTCTAGATTTTTGGATCCTTAGATTTGGCTGAGACCTGGTAATCAGAACTGAGGGTTATGGATCACTGCCTAAAAACCAAGCATATTTCAGGAAAGGTCAAAATTGCCCCAGATCCTTGCTGTTTTTTAATCAGTTAAATACAAAAAACCTCTGATTAGGTCCTGACTATGCTTATCTATACCCAGAATTAACTTTTTTTGCCTTCCCAAAAAGAGCAAGTTTGAATCAGAATGCCTAGATAAATTGAAGTGAGCCTGAGGAAGTTCTGGGAGAGGTAAGAAGCAGTGGGAAGCATTTTATTTTGAGACAGGGTCTTGCTTTGTCACCCAGGCTTGAGTGCAGTAGTGCGATCTTGGCTCACTGTACCCTCTGTCCCCCAGGCTCAAGTGATCCTCTCACCTCAGCTTCCCAAGTAGCTGGGACCACAGGCACACACCACCATGCCTGGCCACATTTTTGTATTTTTAGTAGAGACAGTGTCTCACCATGTTTCCCAGGCTAATCTTGAACTCCTGAGCTCAAGCAGTCCTTCTGCCTTGGTCTCCCAAGTGTTGGGGTTACAGGCATGACCCACTGCACCTGGCCAAAAAGGACAATTCTTTTTTTGTTTTTTTTTTTTTTTTTTTTTTTTTTTGAGACTGAGTCTGTTCTCTCACCCAGGATGGAGTACAGTGGTGTTTGATCAGTGGGAGCCCCTTCAAGCCGGCTTCCATGCCTTGCGACATAACCTATTATTCCTTAGACATATCCTATCATTCCTTGCTTTCTACAAAGCACAATTAGATGTTTCAAACTCATTTTGTGCTTTTCTTCCATTTATCTTGAATCAGCCATTTATTTCTTTTAGTGGGGTATAGTATTTAGAAACCAATATCTGGACACTATGTTAAGATTTTGCTGCTTCCATGTCCTCTCAGTGGACAGAGCTAGAGGCGATGTGTGTGTTTGTGTGTGTTTGTATATAAAGTCTATAAAAATATATACTTTCATTCACATATTATTTCCGTCTCTCTGTTGGAACCATGAATTCATATAGATATGAATTTTACAATTCTTAGTTTTCTCTTTTCCTCTCTTTTCCTTTTCCTCCCTCCTCATACTGGCTCCAATAACTTTCTCTGGGCCAACACAACCTTCAGCCTGATGCAGATGCTTTCCTTGATCTGTTTCTAATTACTTTTGAACTGAACAATTCAGCAATGTTTCGGAAAGAGAGCCCTTATTCTTTTTAAAACATAGTGTTTTTGTATTTGGGGCTTAATGGGAAAATAACTGATAATAGTTGTGACACAAGATTACAGATTCTCAGAGGTCTAGGCTTCTAACCCTGATTACATTTGTTGCTGCAATTTAGTCCTTTGGTAGTGATTTGATAACTGAGTAAGGATAGTTTTCATGGTAATGGAGGGTTAAAGCTAAGTTTGGAAATTAGCTGTTTCTGTGTTTTTGCTATATTAAAAAAATGCTTTTACTTGTAACTTTTTATTGACAGTTGGTGTTGAATAGAAGGAATTGTGAACCTTATTTAGGGAGTCAAAATTTACTTTTCTTTTGCTTCTTCAGCCCACGGATAGAAAGATTGCTCTGGCATGATAACTGAACTTGTAGCTGAGGTTTACATATGAAAGGATTTAGGCGTTGTTAGATTTTAATGTTATCCAAATAGTAATAGACATAAAAAATACATAATAATGCTTTTATTGACTGGTATAATGACATTCTTTTTATTTAAATCTTTGTATCAAAAAGCAGAAAACTCCTATAGATGGTTATTTTTCTTTTATAGGCAGTAGATCATCTAATGCAAAATTGCCCTCAGTTCCAACAGTTGATTCAGTATCACAAGATCCGGTATCAAATATGAGGTATTTAAGCTACTAATTTGAATACTCTGATTTATACCTTTGATGACTTTTTAAGCTATCTAGCTTTATTTCATTTCTTTTCATTTTTTTCTTCCAACATATATGACATATAGAGGCTTGGGAACATTTTAGAAGTTCATTTAATTTTGAAAGATTTTAAGATGTGTAAGTCATTTCATGATTGATGTACAAGTCACTTCATGACAAGTGAAGATTTGTGGTAAAAAATAATTGCTACATAACACAAATTTACATAAGCTTAGAACTTACGTTTCAAATGATTGCAAATTGAAAGTATGGAATTCAGTATTCCTCCTCTATAAAATGCTGATATGGGCCTGGTGCTGTGGCTCACGCCTTTAATCCCAGCATTTTAAGAAGCCGAGGAAGGTGGATTACTTCAGGTCAGGAGTTCAAGACCAGCCTGGCCAACATGGTGAAACCCTGTCTCTAATAAAATACAAAACAAATTAGCTGGTTGTGGTGGTACACACCTGTAGTTCCAGCTACTTGGGAGGCTGAGGCAGGAGAATCACTTGAACCTGGCAGGGAGAGGTTGCAGTGAGCTGAGAGAGCATCATGTACTCCAACCTGGGAGACAGAGTGAGACTCTGTCTCAAAAAAAATAAAAAAGCTGATATAAGTGATAGGCAGTCAGCCAAAGCCACAATGATACAAATAGATAGATTTTTATTGTCACTTACCTTGTTTAATTGAGTTTCTGGGTTTAATTTGGAATGCTATGAGTGTATTTTCCACCACTGGAGCCTTAGTTGCCAGAAAGTCCTTGATTTTCTTTACCACAATTGGGAATATAATTTATAAGCACTTGTTGAGTCTGTACTATATGTTGTAACTGAGAATTTTAAAACGAAGTCATGGTTCTTGAACTCATTGTGCTAATGGTTTAGTGGTAAATAGAAAAATTTGTTGAAGACTTGATGAGAGTTTATTTAGGTTATAATGGGGCTAAAAACAAAGTCGTCTTAATTGGCCAGGTGAGACATCTAGTAATAACTGATGCTTGAAGTGGTTGTTAAGCAGGTTGTTGGGGATTGTAGGGGAAAGATAGATCAGGATAAAAACGAGTATTTTTGACAGAAGGGCTGCTGTGCATAGCAGTAATGTCTCCTTAGGTAATTCTTTATTTATTTTTTTTTTGCACTGTTTTATTTATCTATGGAAAGTCATCTTTATTTTCAAAACTAGAAAATTGATACAAACTGTTGAATAGTTCAATTAACTTAATGTTTTTTCATTAGTATTACAGAGAGGCTTGAACATGCTTTGGAAAAGGCAGCTCCTCTCCTTCGTGAGATTTTTGTGGATTTTGCACCTTTTCTTTCTCGGACACTTTTGGGTAGCCATGGACAAGAACTGCTTATAGAGGGAACAAGTAAGTGATCTTTCTTTATTTTATTTATATGTGTTTATATTTCAGGATTAAAAACTTCCATGAATAATGGGATAACGTGGAGCTTCATTGTTTAAGTGTTGTCAGCCTTTGACAAAATTTTTCATAGTCTGTATCTTTTGAAGAATATGTCACATGTCTATTATGTTTTAATCTTCAAGTTTTTTTTTTTTTTTTTTTTTTTTTTTTTTTTTTTTTTTTTTTTTTTTTTTTTTGAGATGGAGTCTAGCTTTGTCGCCAGGCTGGAGTACAGTGGTGCGATCTCGACTCACTGCAACCTCTGCTTCCTGAGTTTCAAGTGATTCTTCTGCCTCAGCCTCCCAAGTAGCTAGGATTACAGGCCTGCACTGCCACATTCAGCTAATTTTGGTATTTTTAGTAGAGATGGGGTTTCACCGTGTTGGCCAAGATGGTCTCGATTTCCTGACATTATGATTTGCCAACCTTTGCCTCCCAAAATGCTGGAATTACAAGCGTGAGCCACCGTGCCCAGCCTAATCAAGATTTTTGTCAGTGATTTGGATGAAGCATACAATTATGTGTTGAACTAAAGAACTAAGATTTTTTTTTGATGAATTAAAATTTACTTTGAGAGCAAAGAATTGGAGAGAATAAGGCCAGGCGCGGTGGCTCATGTCTGTAATCCTAGCACTTTAGGAGGCTGAGGTGGGTGGATCACCTGAGGTCAGGAGTTCAAGACTTGGAGAGAATAGTGTCACAGGATTTTACTTGAACTTAGATCCATATGAACAACAATGTATTGCCACATAAATAAGGAATGCATTGTTATTAGTAGAATTCGTTTTACAAATAGAGATAACAGCATTTTACTCTATACTGCTTATATCATACATAGATTACTGGGTCTCTTCTAGGTAGTGTACTTCAAGATTGTCAAACTAGATAACATGCTGAAGTAGGTTGGTTGCTAAGGGGATTGGAAATCATGCTATGCAGTGGATGAGGAATAATGAGACTCCCTCCCCTCCCCACCCCTCCCCTCCCTCCTTACCTACAGATATTGCAAGGGTCAAAGGAGGTGCTCATATGGCACAGTTAATACTCAGATACAGATATCTTAAACTATTAACTTACCTATAACCTTGCATTTCCACTATATTTTTATGGCTACAAGAGATATGCTTTTTCACAAGTTTTGAAAAAACCCTTAGGCAATCTCCTAGCTACTGTTAGCCAATAAAAATTTCAGTAACTAAAGCTGCCAGTTGATACTTAAAGGGAAGAGGAGGGAAGGGGAGGGGAGGGGAAGGAGAAGAGGAGAGGGTAGGGGAGTCTCATTATTCCTCATCCTCTCCATACCATGATTTCCAGTCCCCTTAGCAACCTACTTCAGCATGCTATCTCAATGAAGGAAGGAAAACCAGAATTTATGATAAGTTAGAGCTTATTAAACATGTATTTGAAATTTGGGCTTAGTATTTACGAAAGGAATGTGTTTCAGATTCATGATGAGTATTTAGTTGTATCTAAAAGATAATGTTCATTTGGAGTATATGTGTATACCTTCAAAACCAGGAAAATATGGAGTAAAACTTCTTGAGTTTATTATCCTTAAATTCTTATTAAAATTTCTCATAATGCTTATTACCATCCCATTTTAAAAATAAATTATTTAAAATGACTTAAATATAAAAAACAAGAGGCTTCTTATATTCCAAGATAGTAAATCGTCATGACTTGACTTTTTTCATGGTATACTTGAGGATTTAGATAGATCAATGGGTTTAGATGGCACTGGCTTACTATCTGCTAAGTCATTTAATTCTTTGACTGAAGTGATATATCTGAGTGAGTCTCCACTGAAGAAATTGCAGTGGTCTTTGATCATAAAATTCCAGACTAGTGCAGATATAAAACTCTTGGCTTGGCATCCCAAGTTTGTGCTTTTGAAAAGACTAACATTTTCTATCTTTGAAAAGCCATCTAAAAAATAATCAAGCCAAACCATATTATTCTACTATTCTACTGAGAGTTTTAGAGAGGTCAGATTGTGAGCCAGTTCAAATCTATAAGCTTGCAAGTGAGATAATAATAGGGTATGTGTTTGTGGGTATATAAAATGAAAATGATATTTCTGGCAGCAACTTACAACTTGACCTTAAGGTTTTAGGGCCTTCCTTTGAATAGTTCTTAAAGTATGACTAAATCTGAAGAGAGGTCTACAGTTGTATTATTTGTTTTTTGCACATGGGATGAGTGTCATCTATTGGCAAAAATTTTGGTCAAAAATAGAAATGACATAAGTTCAACAATTTGATGTTAAGTTCCTCATTAGGCTTATCTCCTGTTTATTTACTCCCAGTGTTGTTTTTGTATTTACAGTACCAATGTCCTTTAGATAGGGAGCTTGGAGCTCTAATATCAGGTCTCTCTTGTCTTCTGAAGCCCTTACTCATTCAAAATTGAACATACTCTCCACCCTGCCCCTGCAACAAATCTACCGTCACTCTCTTCCACATAATTATTCAAACCAAACTGCAAAATGTTATTTGACCTTTTACTAGCTTTGTCAGTGAACATATTTTTTCCTGAATATTCATAACTAACTAGAAAGTAGCTAAAGTAGTATGAACCTTCTTCTGGTTTGCTAACCTTTATTATTGAAAAATAAGACTGAAATAAATAAATAGAAATATATATATGTAAAGGTTTTCTTAAGAATAGAGGTATATGGGCCAAGTGTGGTGGCTCACACCTGTAATCCTAGCACTTTGGAAGGCCGAGGTGGGCAGATCACCTGAGGTCAGGAGTTTGAAACCTGCTTGACCAACATGGTGAAACCTCGTCTTTACTATAACTATAGAAATTAGCCAAGCATGGTAGTGGGCGCCTGTAATTCCAGCTACTCTGGTGGCTGAGGCAGGAGAATTGCTTGAACTCAGGAGGCAAAGGTTGCAGTGAGCTGATCACGCCATTGCACTACAGCCTGTGTGACAGAGCAAGACAACATTTCAAAAAAATGAAATAAAAATAAAATAAAAAAGAAATATAGGTATGAAATATCCTATGATAGGTGCGGTGAGAGGGACAAAGGAGTACCTGTAAATCTCCCTGATTTGGGATAGCCCAAGGTTTTTTTTTTTTTTTTTTTTTTTTAAATCACTTTTTTTTTTATCTGAATAAATATATATTAAAAAGGTCCATGAGGGCCCAATGGCTGGAATTCTAGTTTCTCTAGAATAAAGCAATAAGGATTGATGACCTGATAATAGAAAGATCTTAATTTACTTTCTGGAAATAATGGGTTTTGAAGTTGGAGCAAAACTGAACTCCTTATATTATCTGGGTTAAATTTAAGAAAAAATGGCAAGGTTTCAGACCAGTAGGGGGCTACTCCTGCAGTAAGAGAGGGAGTATTGTTTACCTTTTCTTTTGGCCTTGCATTAGCCTGAGGAGCCATGTTCATCTTAGCCCCAGAAAAATCATACTGTAGTTAATAACTTGTTTCCTAATATAACATAGAGACATTCTATAGCTAATTTTCTGGCCAGTGCTGACACTCTTACCATCATTTCTATGTTAGTATTTTTTCAGGCATTGAGAAAGATGGTTATAACATTTTTTAAAAAGTAAAGGCGGTAAACAGCCCTTTTAATTTGAATGCTATTTATAAAGCTAAAAAATGCCAACATGTGCTATCATTAGGTTGGAAGCATTAGTATTTAAACAGGGAAGGAGAAAGAACGAAAGCATAAAAAGATAAAAGAAAGGGAGTGGATAGGATACCTGCAAGAGTTTTCATGGGGTGAGAAAGAGATGGTAATAGAGTGTTTTAAGGGCTATCAGGAGTTATTTTAGATGTTACACCCTGGAACCTAAGCCCATGTTTGCCTAGAAAAATGTAGAATAAAAAAATTGTAATTTTTCTGATTATTAGTAATGCAATTTAATAATTTAGTCCCTTTAATTATTGGCATTGCTTTTTTAAGATACTGAGTATAAAACATTCTTTGAATGAACTACTTTATATTTTATTGGTAATTAAAGCTAAAGACTTCTTTAGATAGGTATTAATTATATAAAATATCCTTCCTAAGGATATTTTTGCTGAACCAAAATGAAACATAAAAGTAAATGAATTAATTTATAAGAAATCAAGAATATATAACAGACAACGGCTTGCATTTCTGTTAAGGTTTAGTGTGAGGTCAGAGGTCAAGGTACTAATAAGAGTGTTTGGGATGTCTGCTGCCATGAAACAAAATGGAAACTTGATTGATAGCTGGAGGGTTGAAGGGAGAGAGTGTGGTGGAGAAAGCAAAGGTCAGGGAGCCATTTCCCTTCTCTGCATGTATAACGATCAACTCTCTCCAAAACAAAATGTAGATGATATTGATCAATATGGCATATGTTGTGCACATTTCTATGAGTATTGTGAAATGTCATTATATATGAAGTTGTAATAAATGTTTTAGTATTTTGAAAGCTGAAATGGAATACTTTACAAAAAATGGTGGTAGTTTTGCTGCCACCTTTAAACTAACTATAATGTACCTTATTTAATCATATGAGCAAATGTACACTATTAATAGTTTGATAAACCAATTTGAAAAAACAATTTGGATGAAATTGTAACAAATCCTAATTTGTTTTCTTTATAATTTTTAAAAATTCTCTTTAAAATAGGTCTGGTTTGCATGAAGTCTAGTAGTTCAGTTGTGGAATTGGTTATGCTACTGTGTTCTCAGGTAAGTGACAAGAATAAATGTTGAATTAAAAGTAGATTTTCACATGAATTTGTTTTCATGGGGGATGTTATATTTGCATTACTGAAATTTTTGCCATAGTAAAATTTTGAGTTTGCTGTTTTAAAATAATTTTATTTGTATTGCAAAAGGGTTACTTCTTATTTTTGATACTTGCAGATAATTTTGAAGCAAGCATGGGAGGAAGTAAGAAACAAAAGTTTTCAGAGTCTCTTTAAAAATATGCAGATACAATGATCTTGATAATTTCTTTACTGTATATATTAAGGTTATATAAACAGATTTATTTCTATATCTTGTGGAGGGCCATGCTGACTCCACTGGGAATCATAAGTTTACTTCCCTTTTGTGCAGAGGTTATAAAATGAGCGATAAATGATTTTGAATCCTTGTCATTGCTAATTATTTTTGACATACACAGTAGATTTGGGAAAACATTAACAAAAATATGGCAGGTATCATAAGATGCAAAAAATAAATTCCTAAGAGCAAAATTACCTTAGATGTTCCAAAATCTTGTGCCTCATGTGGTAAACTTTAATGATTAAAAAAATATATATATAAAAATCATGTATTCTGTGAGGCTTTCTTTTCTGTTTTGCAATTAAACAGATGAATGTTTTTATTGAGAGTTTTCTTTGTAGTCTTTTAAAGTGATATCTTGCTGGTAGTAAATTCCCCCACTTAAAACTTTAAGATAGCCTTTTTTAATAGGAAAGGTATTGGTCTAGAGGTCAAGGGTTTTGACCCATTTCAAAACCTTTGACCTTCATTTACAACTCTCATGGTTTACTTGCCTAACGAATAAGGATAATGCAAAATTAATGTTTCTTTGCATCGATTTATTTGTTTTAGCGCGTATATGCCAAATTTATTTAGACTGTGCTGATGGACATTTCATGAATACAAATTAAAGAATCATAGAAGGTGTGAAAAATCAATACTATGCATTGTCAATAAGGTGCAATGAGAACAATTACTTCTAGAGATTACACCTAATGGATTTTTGTAATGAACTTGTGAGGAGTAGTTACTTAGTAGGCTTATTATTCTTAGATTTAGTGAGAATCATGTTTCTATAATTTAATCATCTCATTTAGAACACTCCATTTCTTCAAAAGCTGACTGGATAAATTTCTCATTAAGCCATCTCATTAGAAATAATTATTTTTTTCTTGGATAGAAGTTGCTATATAGGATTCTTATACCTGCATGAAATCGCCCTTACTTTAAAAAAGCACTCACGGTTTTGGATGTTTCCTCACAAGAATATAAATTTATTGTTCATAGTGATATAACTGTTTTATAGGTGAATTTTGACAATGAAGTTTCACTTTCTAGTTTTGAAGAATTGAATGTATTTTTGGTACATGGAAGGTATTTCCAGTATAGTCTATTGCATATTTGAATGTTAGAAGCTGCAAAGATAAAGAATGACATGTTTTAATATACCTATTTATCATGTATGTCACAGTACTGTTTAATATTACTGCAATCAAGTGGGATATGAAGATCATGTAGTTGAGTAAGTTTCAAAAGCCAGTAATTGTCAAGGTTTTTGTATGAATAAAATACATTATTGGGTATTTGAAGTCCTTAACATTTTTTATGAGTTCTTCAAAAGTTCCACAGCATCTCTACAAGATGTAGCACAGTGTGAAAAATGATGTGAAAAATGAAGCTAGAATTAGCTCCAGATGTATACAGATTGTTCCGGGGTGATAATTACATTTTTCACTTGAATTTTCCTAATTCAAAGAGGTCAACTTGGCAATCACAAAAGTGATTTATTTTGTTAAGAAGTGAACTGTCTTTTTCTACATGAAAGCTTAAAAGATATGAAATTGAATTTCAAGTCGACGTTTTACAGCTCTTGGGTGGGGATAGCTTGAGTTTGATTGATAATTTTTTTTGGACTGAGATATGGTGGGAAGCAAAAACTACATCTTGCTAAAATTGTAATTAATTTTTTAAGAGGAGATGGAGAGGATTGAGTGCCAAAGATCGAAAGATCAGGTCAAAAACTACTTTTTAATCACATAAATAATGGGATATGCTTATGAACTTAACATCTGCAAATTTGATTTAGAACTTTACAAATTAGTTGTTGTTAATTTCATGACAATCAGCCATGATCTGATTATTTTTCTTGAGTCCATTTATTCTTTTTGTGTTATTTTAAATAAGGTGTTTAATTATATTTTATTGTAAAATAATTTAGAGCCTAAATTTAAGAAATGAGGAAATGATCACATTTGGTTAGCTGATAATAAGACCAAACAGATCACTATATATATTTGTTTCAACTAAGATTGTAGTTTTCACTGTCTACTCATTGATCAGTAGTTGATTAGCCACCATTTCATATTTTAGTCTATTTAAATGTTAATATTGTTTAGGCAAAATATTATTACTTAGAATTGGAAATCTCTCATAATACATAGCATTATATTTTTGAGTATAATTAATAAATGAGGTTTGCAAAATTAGATTTATTCACCTGTTGAATCCCATGTAAAATAATTCAAGAACGATTGAATGTCCAAAGACCAATTTAAGTCCTCTTTATTTCTTAAAAGAAGACTTGCTTCTATTCTTTGGGAAACTGTGTGTTCTCTGATACAAACACACAAAAATTGAACAGGTTCTTAACCGTGTTTCAGGTGGTTTTTTGCAAGCATGCAACTTATTTGTGTGCCAAATTTGTTGTATATGTGTGTAAACCTGTTTTAAATATATATGAATTTAAAGAAAATGTTAAATAGATGTTTCAAGTAACATTACTCCAGCATTGTATAAAGTGTTTGTATCTTGTTCATTTGACATTAATATCATTTTTGAAAGAATTGACGTTGCATTCAAGGCCACTTTATAAAAGCATTGCATTGCTCGTCCTAATTCAGTCTGACATACATTCCAATAACACTACCTCCCTTCTTGGGTTTAAAGCTAAATTTATGACTGTGCATTGTGAAGTGCATCATTTAAAAATGGTTTCAACCCAAAACATCTAATAAATAAATAATGTGTATGGCTACTCAGTAGTAGACTTTCTAGACTAGAAATCATTCCATCGGATACTCAACAGTCCACTATCGGAGAGGGCTGTCAGATAAATCTTGTGGTAGCTGCATTCATGTCCTGTAAATCACATATTATTGTCTGAGCCTTCTGCCAGGTCATCTATTCTTTTCCCATTTATCAGAAATGCATACAGTATATAGAAAAACTAGAAGCACCATATAGTCTGGACTGGCATCATGTCTGAGTAATTTATTAGCAGCAAAAGTTAATTTAAAATACTATTTTAGTCTAATTCTTTAAAAAAATTTTCAACAAAATATGTAGATTGTTGCTGTTTTGGGAAATATTTTCTTTACGTGAAGGTAATGATATAAGGTTTGGTTATTTTTGATTTGTGTTTCTTTCTCTACCTCTGAGTTATTAATTTTAAAATTATAATAATTTACAATAAGAATGAGATAGTTCTTTTCTTGTGATTCTGTCAGTTTTGTGTTTGAAATTTTTTCCTGAATCTGTACTGTAGTCAAATGTTTCTTTATGTTTTGCTTTTCTATACTTTCTGTTCTCTAATCCCGTTTCTTCTCCATTTTGAGTTTATTTTTTCTGAATATATGACATTAATGCTTTTTTATAGTTATAATGATTTTATAGATGAATATTTTCAGTATGAGAAGATTATTAAAACACTTCTCTCCCATTGCCCCCAAAAAAGGCAAACCAGCTGTATACATGGCACAGTGGTGTCCTTCACCATTAGGCCTCTCTTACTCTCACATACTCTCAAGCGATGCTGAACTATTTAAAGATACCCAAATATGCCATTATATTTCTGTGTCTTGGTACATGCTTTTTCTTTCCCTAAACTGCCCTTCTTTCAAACTTGGTGACTTTTGTTAGCTGCTGCTTATCGTTCAGAGCTCCACTTAATTATCTCATTCTCCCAGGATCATATCTATAGTTGATATCTTTTTGTCTTTAGCACCCATTATAGAATTTACCACAAATTGTAAGTATAAATATCCTAATTGGTTTACTTGTTTATTGTTAGTATCCTTCTTTGTTTTCTCGACTCTATGAAGATAACAGCTATTTCTACTTTGCCCATTAAAGTATTTCTAGTACCTCGCACAGTATTGCTTAGTGAATATTTATGGAAAAAATGAATCAGTTGGCTCCTAGATAAATTGCAATCTCTTCTGGAAAGATTTCCTTTACTCCTCTCTTCCCTCCAACAATATGCCTAAATGAGGTATTGTGCAGAACACTTACTCAAACTATCTTAATTTCATTCTATATTTAAGTTGCCTGTTGTTTTCCTTTCTCTTCCATGTAGACTGCAAAGTTTTTGAAGACAAGCATTGTGTTTTTTTTATTGTATTCCCAGGGTCCGGTATAGTACTGTTCAACCATACAGATGTTTATATACTCATATAATTGATAAATCAAATGGTATCATGGATCATAAATGATCATATTTTAAACTTTGCCTTTTGGTCTTTATCATTAGGAAATACCCCCATACTTTCTGATATTAGTTTTTATATTAAGTCTTCATTTTCGTTAGGACAACTAATTTTATCATTACTGAATAGTGTAGTTGTGTTCATTTATGAGGAGGCCTTTGGTTTTTCTTTTCTTTCGACTTAATCAGATTCACCTCATTTTTTTTTTTTTTTTTAAAGACAGGGGCTTGCTCTGTTGCCCAGGCTGGAGATCAGTGGTGCGATCATAGTCCACTGCATTCGACCTCCCAGGCTCAGGTGATCCTCCTGCTCAGCCTCCCAAGTTAGTAGGACTCCAAGTAGCTGGGACCACATGCCAGCACACATGGCTAATTTTTTGTAGAGATGGGGTCTCTTTAAATTTGCCAGTTTGGACCTCTTTTTTGTTTTGAGATAGAGTTTTGCTCTTGTTGCCCAGGCTGGAGTGCAGTGGTGCAGTCTTGGCTCACTGCAACC